ATGCCGGGGACCGACACCCACAGACTCGTTCTCAATTCTGTCTTTTGTGTCATCGCTACTTTTTTATCTCCAATGTTTTTTTTTAATTTATTACCTGTAATGTTATCTATGGCTTTGGGATCTTTTGTTTAGCACATTATTTTGCTTACAAAGTAAAGCAAACTATTAATGACTAACCATGTTTATTGGCAAATTTACCGACTCTATGAATAATAAACAATTTTCATAACGCTTTTAATCCAACTATAATCATAAACTTATGCAACTAACATTGGTATAAATATAATATATATTATATATACGAGTATGTATATACTTATAATTAAGTATATTACGTATTTTTTCTTTGGTTTTGTTGATGTGAAACGTAATTTTTATTATGAACGCTTAAGAAGGACAATGTGGAACATAAAAATAGGTTTAAATTATATACGAGTATATATGATTATAGCTTGTTTTTAACTAAAATCAAGGTTACTCACATGAATATGTTTATAAAAGATCTGATACATCTATTCTACAAAGGAAAATCTTTATTCTTTGCAATCAAATACGGCACATGCGCACCCCTGTGACCTTGACGTTCAGTGACAACTCGGGGGACGAGCATTTATTTGGTTAGTACATAATAATATAAGAAAGCTCCATAGAGATTTATGATAAGCTCGCTTTGACTCCTCTAAAAATCTCGAACGTGATAACGTCTTGTATTCTAAGTTTACAATTGTAATTAAGTTTAAAATAATAAGATGAATGCCTTGTAGGCAGTATCGATTTCAGAGTTTCGATATTGTTTCCGAGTGCTTATCGAGTACTTACGGCGCAATGCACCAAAGATGTTTTACTGCAGCAGAAACTTCATTTATTTGCGTACAGTGAAATAATAGTTCTAAGTCTAACACATAATAGGGCCACTGAACTGGGCTGGGTGCCGCTCTACAAGCACGAGTGAAACCCGGCCCGCTCGAGGTCATTGAACCGTTCATTTTGCTGCATCCGTTGCAAATACTCTTATGCACATTTCTGTTACCTGCTACCAATTCTGTTGACTGTATATTCAGTACCAATTTTGGCTGCTAAGTCAGAAGAAAAAAAGATTGCCGTTGAAAAACAAAGTAACAATAGAAAGTTTATATCGGACTCGATGATGAAGTAAATCTGTTAAGAAACTTGACGTTTAGTTTTGAAATTTGTTCTTTTATTATTCTTCTATTTTTAACGACGCAAAACCATTATTTTCGTTTGTTCTATCAATAACTCATATTATATCATTTGGTAAGGGAAACAGACGCTTCAAGGGCGAGCTCGGTGGAAAATGGTAAGCGGCAGAGTCGACACCGTTGAGTGTTTGAAACGAAAAATAAATATGTGTCGTATATTTTTTATACTATATAATTAATTAAGATATATTCAATTATTTTAATATCATATAATTGATTGACAACTCAATTAACAACATTAATTGCAGTGAATGCACTTTATGTGTACATGTACATTGTACATAATCACATATGTATTACAATAGTTGCACTAGAAAGTAGTGTAGTTAAACTAATCAGTCCTTAAAATAGATACTATACTACTATATATATTTTAGGGACTCTACTATGGTATTGGTCGCTGTTTAAATCGCAGTATTGTACATATATGTATGTATATATGTTCGTCAAAAAATCTAGTTTTTTTAAGCTTATCTAATATCCACCATTAACTTCGTCTGAGAAAAAGTATACTTCTATTTAATCCACATATAATATACCTACACGAACCCTGCTTTATATGGGATCACGACGATAGAACAGGAGCGCCAGCTATATTTATAGATGTACTCCACCGACTGAAATATAACTTACTTTGTTTGTAATTCAGTCTTGGTTTTACCGAAATATTTATATCTGTGGTATTATTTCATACTAGCAGCTCACCCTCGCTTCGCTCGGCTTCGCCCCTAGGTATGTTTTAACGGTTAGGATGGAATAGATAGACTGAATATTATATATTCTGAGCTTAAAGCACTTAAACATAATATTATAAACATAAGTTTTACAATAATGTATGGAAGCATGTCGGATTAGTTGACATTTATAATCACTGCTCTGCTCCCTTGGGTGATAGCATGATGATATATATAACCTTCCTCAATAAACGGGCTATATACGCAAAAAGAATTTTTCAAATCGGATTAGTAGTTCCTGGGAATAGCCCGTTCAAACAAACTGCCTCTTTATAATATTAGTATAGACGTACACCTATATGTAGAAAAAGAAAACCCTATAGTCCATAGAAATCTGTTTTGCGTTTAGAGTAAAACCGACAGACATACAGACAAGACCAAAAGCCATTAAAGGATAGAATATATAACCATAGTAAGAAATACATATACATACATATTATATGTATTTTTTAATTTGAACTATACGCATGGGATAATTTTAGCATTTTTCATTCCTTAAGGCTTTTGTTTCTACTTTCTGCGGTTTTCGTCGACGCGAAGCTTATCGACCGGAACTGTCGGATAGCAATTTACAAGTGAACCCTTTGTACTGAGTGGAAACCTCTACCACCCTTTCTCCACTTATTTACGAGTCATGCTAATAGTTCGGCCGAATCGTCCAATTTACCTATTCGTTAATTAAATTTTTTATTAATGCTCCTTTTTTAATTTAGGGGTGAATGAGTTATCTATTTTGGCTAATTCGGATATTTATTATTATTGACATAATATTATCAAGTTAGTATAACTAACGGTGTTTAGATCATTTTATTGACATTTTTGCGGTAGCTATCATGGTTCGATGCCATTCGTCCACAGGAACAGGTTTAGCGTTGCAATACGTTTAGTGAGCATAGCATAAGGTTAAAAGTAGCTTAAAAATGCATGTAATATCCGAAGTTCGAATAAAAAAAAATTAACCATGTAAATATATATTTATAGAAAATTAACCGATTAAAATGACGCCTCTGTTAAGTATGTAGCAAAAGAAAAATCTTTTAGTGTCGACTTCGGGAGAAGGGGAGAAACAGTGGGTGTTGGGGTGCGGTCGATGGTAGGAGTTGTTATATAGTGACGCGATCACGTGTACATTTTGCAGCTTGTATTGATCCTGTCGTCTTTTTCTTTTTAAATGCGGTAACACTGCGTGATTTCCTACAATTTACAGTCCCTGTTAAAAAATGCTATAGCTTATACTACCTTTTTTTTTACAATTCCTTCATTTATTAATTTCCTTCATTTTCCTTCATTTATTATTAATTTTTTTCAAACTCATATTGTATGTGTTATATTTGTCAAATTCATTAGTTTCTAAATTACATATTTTACTTAATATTTTAGCTATGCCGTTTGAATTGCGAGCAAAGCATATTAAACATTCTGTATGTTATGATTCTTTTATGATGAACTAGCGGCTGACCTTCGTTTCGCTCAATTCGCCTCTAGAAAAACAAGACAAATCTATCCCACGGGAACCATACATTTTCCCAGGATAAAAAGTCGCCTATGTGTTAATCCTGATTTATGAGCTATATTATTATAAAGTTTCATTAAAATCCATTCAGTAGTTTTTGCGTGAAAGAGTAACAAACATCTGTACATCCAGATATCCATACTCCATGCATCATCTTAAACTTGTGCATTTATAATATTAGTAGGATTTGCGTTATAATAATGATTGATTTTGTAAAAATACAAAAAGAACTATCGGCATGAGTGTTGTATCACAGCAGGTGTACCCCACCGGAGCTGTCCCGAGCGAATTGCCGTGTCGTGACACTCTACTGAACTGTGTTGCTGTTTGGGTGCGTGCCATTTATTCTTCACTTTATTTTATTTTTGTCAAACAAACCTAAATTAGTATTAGGTCGATCGATAGAATTTCAACATCGTTTGTATTAAGTTTTAAGCAAATCTAAACTAATTACAATTACAAAATAGAAGTAAGAATTTAAACCCTTTATAACTAACTACATGTTTGTAAACAGTAAACACGATGGCTCTCTTTTTAGTTGCACGAATCCAGTCGTGATCACGAATATTTATAGTCCCTGTTGCAATTATAATAGTGTTATTATTTATTGCATAATGCGTATTTTTAAATACTAAATACTGATAATTTATCATTCTAATAATTAATAACATAATATTTCATATTGAATATTGATAAATTGTAATAAAATCATATAATGTATATTACATAAAGATTAAATAACTTTGCTTTATGGGGTCGGTTAAATGTGTATTTAGTTAGTAGCGACAAAAAAATAATGTTACGCATTACAACGGCTAGTGAGAACTACGACGCTAGTTTACGGTGAACGGTCGGTAAAAGTTAGACAAGAGACTGAAAAGAGGCGTGTGAGTGTAGTGAAGTAGAACGAGATGCGAGATTTGTATGCGTGCGCTCTATTTTGGTCGCGGTGGCACACTCGACGGCTAATCGGCACGTCACGTGGCCACCGCCGGAAGGATGGGGGGTGAGGCCTCGCGGGACGCGGCCGGGGCGTCGGAATGCAGTCACCACCGCTCGATGCACAGCCCGTCGGATTGATCGTTCAACTGCTTACCACTAAACCATTTACACTCGCTGTCCACTAACAAATACGTACCCTCTCAGACAACTTATTCACCAAACATACCATTATTTAAACGGGCATGTTCAATTCATAACTTCTATTTTTTAATTCACAATGTAATATGATATTTTTTAAAATATTTCAAATTATTATGGAAAACTAACACGTGGTCTTATCAGTTTTCCGTAATTGATAGTAAAGGAAGTTTTCGCTCTAAATTAGGTTTATGGTTTTTGATAATATGTAGTTTTAAAGGACAGCATTTCTTTGTTCTTTTATATCCAACACTTAGTATATGAACCACCCATGTTAGGATAAAATTTTGAAGTACGAGCAAGTAATTGCACCGCGCGGATTGCAGGCAATCACCCCCGCACCGCGCCCGGCGCTCCGCTCTCGAACACCGTAAGTAAACAGTCTGGTGTTTATCCGCGTCTCGCTCGCACCGACCGCGTCGCGCCGTGCCTCTGAGGTGCACTCGCTGTTCCTATTATTTTCGTGACGGGTATTGCGCCGAAGCCGATTCCCGCATCCTCGCCCCGAGACGCGAGGTCCGGTCTCGCGGTGGAGGCGACGGCGGCGGCCGCTCGCATCACGCGCCAGTCCACGCCCGAGGCCGACTGTCGCATCGGTTCGCGCCTTGTGAAACTTTCGCACTTCGCGGATTCCTCCTCGTAGAACAGTGATGTTTCGGGAATGATACTTGTGACGAACGCTACGGTTGCTTACTATTTTAAAATTACAATATCGTATTGGTGTCAGTGGTCGGATTGTGTACTGGTTTGCTGATGATACACGTGAATGTGAATGGGTTGCAGATTGGAGTTGGAAAATGCATTTCAAGGAGTCGTTTGCGATGAACGATCGTCCGAACGAGCGCGGCCGTCGCAACTCCCGATGCAAGGGTGGGTGTCTACTGTCTATCCGCGCTGACGGCCACGAATGGTTTGCGCTCACTCTCCCGGCCCTCGACAAGTTTGTTCGTATACAATAACAGCTGCTTGTTTCTCGCCCATATCGTTCGCGCGTTAAATTTATCGTCACTTTAAGTACACAAAATGATAATATGATAGCTATTAAAACCAGCCCTTTTGTCCTATCGTAGGTTTGTACACAATATCAAACTCTCATGTCATTTAGTGGAGTTAAAATTTTTGATTGATTTTATTATTTGAGTCTTGATTCGTGGCCTTAATTAATAGCGACTCACCTTTGCTCCGCTCGGGTTCGTCCCTAGATACGTTTTAACGGTTAGTACTTATACATAGATTTCTTATAGATTTCTTGATGAAATTTGGTATGATGATAGCTGGTCAACATATAGGATACTTTTTACCACGGGAAAATATCTCATCTCTGAGAACTCTATACTAAACGTTAAAACGTAAGTAGAGACGACCTCGAGCGAAGCGAGGGTGAGTCACTAGTTGTACTATGTACTAAATCCTATCAAATAGTTTTACATTTAAATGAAATTTTTAAATCGTGTTATCATAGAGAAGCCTATTTTTAAAATAAAACCTCTGGTTATTGTTACAACCTGCCAAGTCTTTAATTTGTCCTTAAAAATCTTATAAAGATTGAATATTCAATTCAATTCTCTTGTTAACGGCTTCAAACGTGCCAATTGAAAAAAAAAATCTAAAAGAAAAGAATAAAGAGAGAAGAGAGAAAGAAGAAAAATCTAAAAAAATATGAAGAAACAGATACCAACAATAAATGGTACTTCGTTTTGTTTAGTGTCGTGCAAGAGCTTTAAAAGGTTTCAGGTTTAATTACAAATACATATTTTATAACTTTTCCATATCTTATAGTTTACGGATTACGGACAGATTAACTTACGGATTTATATCAGTATAGGTATGTCTTTGATTGAATAACTTAAATACTTACTTAATACTTATAATTTGTTCCTGAATCATAAAATGGCATATTCAGTCACTACACTACACTTTAATTACTTGATTTGTTTATTTATTTTTTATTTTAATATATCTCTATGGTAATTGTTAAACATAGTCAGTCTTCGTTTTATCTTAATAGAATTTTATTTTGAACATAGGCATTTTCAACAACGTTGATAATTATCAAAAGAACGTGAAGAGTTGAGTTTATTTTGTATGGCAATAAGTAATGTTATTTTATCGGTCTAGTAGTTTAACTGTCATGTATATTTCTACATTCCATAAGTATCGATCTGTATTTATTAATAGGGGAAGTACTTTTATATTATACATTTAAGAAACTGATAAAAATTAAATATTTCACACTGAAGAACAACTCATTTAAGCCGAAATAAAAAAAGCTAGCATCTTATTTTAAAATGTTACATTGAATGTAGTCTTCAAATTAATCAATTTCGACTTAATTCATAAAAAGATTTCATTCACACTTAGAAGGTAACTCTGAGGATTTTCGCAACATTTTATTCTGACCGCAATGTCTATGTTATAAATCTTGCTTGGTCATAATAAACTTAATAATAATTATTAGAATAAAATTAATAATAATACGTATTATATGAGAAACGTGAGGTTCTATAAAAGTTACAAAATACTGGTCTAATCTGTTTAATCATCTAAAATTTTACTTTTCTTCTTTGATATGAAATCTAACTTAATCATAAACGTATGCAGAATATATTCTTGTCCTATCCAAGCAAACATAATATATACATGTATATAACAGATGCCTACTTGACACAGGATAAGTCTGTCTTCCGCAGGGGTGTTGCAGTGAATGCGAAAGCGATCCTGCACGCCCCATTGCACTGCGGCGAAGGGTTCCGCTGTGGGTTTTAGTGAGTAGGAGTCTCACAGTACCCTGCCCATGACGGCGGCAGGGTAAAAAAAAAAAAGGATAAGTCTGTCTCATGTGCAAATCAAAATTGCTAATGGCGTAAGAGGTGTTAACAACAAACGCTATTTATTGGACTTATAAATAAATGGTCTTTGTAAAAACGTGATAAAAATATGACAATTTTTTTCATAAACGAGACTTTAAACATCTATATCTATACATATAATAAAATTGTAAATAAGCCGAACCTGTACATTGAATATTTTTTGGAAAATCTTATTGAAATAGATATTATTATCAGAGGCCGAATCTAATATTTATAGAATTTTTGTCTGTTTGTCTGTTACCGCATCAAGGAAAAACCACTGGAGGGATTTTGATGAAATTTGGTATGATGATAGCTGATTATCCGGGTCAACATATAGGATACTTTTTACTACGAGAAAATATTTCATCTCTGAAAAATCTACACCAAACGTTAAAACGTAACTAGGGACGTAGTGCGTAGTAGCGTAGAGTCGCTAGTAATACATATATTTTATTTAAGTTTCACAAGCAGTTTTGCTCAAAGAGTTCACATTTCTATAGATTCTTTCAATAAATATAGACTTCAATTACTGCCTAATTATCTTCTATGAGGTCCAGACTAAGCGTCACGTTACACGTGTGACATTGTATGTTATGTATATATGAAATTACTTAAATAATTTATCTAAAGCTTAATAAGCGTTAATTTACCATAAATGAGAAAGAGCCAATGCATTTGCTCATTTTGAAACAAAGCTAAAAGAAATATCAAATAATGTAATTCGTCATAATGGGCGAATTCGACAGTTGGTTGGTTCGTTATAGGCTTTGGAGTCTATGCGGCAGTAAGGGTGAGGGGGGCACTGAGGATGGAGGTGAGATCATAGTGGCGAGTGGCCCGGGGAGGCGATCAATATGTACATTGAACATACATACATACCTACCTATATAAATAACGGTACCTAACTTCTCCCAACTCACTGTCTGCTCCAAATACTGCGCCAAAACCCCGTTTCCCCCACCCTCTATGTCATTTAACCGATTCTTTTTTCGTAAACATTCCTATTATTAATCTGAAATATTTTCCTCAATATAATAATATTTTAATTTTTTTTTATTGTAAATGCTATATTGTTTACACTAATTTTATATTATTTTTAAATTTTAAATACTTAATGTGTCCGTTCAATTTTATTAAATCTAATTAAAAATATTACTTATTTGGGAAATAAAGTTTATCAAAAAGTACCTAACTCTGCTTATCAAGAAATCAAAAACGTTTAAGATTTGGGTACACAATGTGAGATTAAAGAAACCACGAGTATTAATTTTATTTATTTTTATTTATGCTTCAATATTCATTCTTCTATATACCGTTACATGAGAGACATTAAAAACTAATTTTGTTAAACTTATTTTTGTGAAATTTTTATTACGTACAGCTTGCTTGTTGTTTGCGAAACATCTGCCTTTTGACCTTTCGATCCGATTGAAGGGTAAACGAAGTATATTGCAGGGAACATAACTTTTTTTGTTATTTTCCATTCGACTTTCTCGTTTTTCCTCAAGGCCATTTTAAATAATTGTATATTTGGACTAGTTAAATATAATTTAGAAATATTTTATAGAGTCTTATAATATCACATATCGACACTTAGACAGGGTTTTTTTTTAGATTTTTATGATCTGTAGTAAGAATAAATATTTCTTTTATTTTTTAATCATTAAATAAAGTGTGGGAGAGGTATAAATAAATATCCATATCACTAAAATGACCAGTTTTTATTATTCAACGTTAGTAAAATATAATATGTTACGAGTATTTATTGAAATAACTCGTTTTATTAACCGACTTTAGAAAGAATATTAGGATCGTTATATTAATAGTAGGTACACAGGAAGCTCAGTCGTTATCTTTAATATCAACTCAACCAACTAAAATAATTATTAGTCTTGGTCCAGTCAATAGGTGAATGAATCAATCTACATACGCGATATTGCCATTCGATATAGGGGCATTTTCGGAGTCTAAAGCTAAGTTTGAGGGGTCGCTCGAGAGGTGCTGGCCCATTTATCGCGAAAAACGCGTTTCATTCAATATTATTTCCAGGGCGGCTTTTAATTTAAAACATTTTTTTCTAAAATAAACATTTTTCGAGATATCGCCTTCTAAACGCACACATTTCACTACCTTCTTCGCGATTATTTCCCTAACAGTTCACTTACATATCGCGCAATATCTAGGCTATGGTTTATCTTAGTACATATGTACATTTTCCCATGGGATATAAGCTTGCAATAGTTACTTAGGGATGTGCCTGAGTGAGCTGAGAGAGAGTCAATACTGTTAATCTATACTAATATTATAAAGAGGTAAAGTTTGTGAGTTTGTCACGTTGTATGGGGTAATCTCTGGATCTACTGAACCGATTTAGATGAAATTTGGTAAGAAGATAGTTCGAGACCCTCGAAAGGACATAGGATACTTTTTATCCCGGAAATCATCTCTTAAGAGGGCGAAAATAGGAATGAAAGTTTGTATGAGGAATCAAGCTAGGGACGACGATCCCGAGGGAAGTGAGGGTGTGAGTTGCTAGTATAAGATAAAAAAAAGTTTTGTCGGAATTCATCCATCTGTAATATTGAATATGTAGTAATACACGCGAACAGTAATTATACATAACTACCTACTATACAATCGGCTAATTTTGCTACTATTAAAAATATCAATTTAACAAAATCAAAAAGTAATCAATTTAAGAGGGCACTCGCTTTATTTTATATAGTGCATAAATGTACATGTATGTATAAAGATTTAGGCAATTCACGACACAAACTTACCTATTCGTGATTCTTTTACGGCTTCTGCGATAGAGCTATTTATTGCATTTCTAATAAAATACGATCAATTTATGCATGTGATATATTTGCCCGCAGTAAAAAGTATATGCTGACCCGGATAACCAGCTATCATCATACCAAATTTCATCAAAATCTGTCCAGTAGTTTTCTCGTGATGCGTTCCCAGACATACAGACAATAATTTTAAAATTTCAATAAGATTTTCCAAAAATATTTAATGTACAGATTCGACTCAGTTCGAAATTTATTATAGGTATATAGAAATAACACTACGCTACGTATAAACTACAATTTAAATTGTAGTCAGCCCTTTTTAACGTCCTACTGCTGGGCACGGGCCTCCCTTCAATACGAAGGGGATCAGGCCATAGTCTACCACGCTGGCCAAGTGCGGCGCCAACCCGCACTTCACATGTCTTTCGAAAACTTGCTAGGTTCCCTCAGACATGCAGGTTTCCTTATGATGTTTTCCTTCACCGTAAGGCAAGCGGTAACCATGTTAGAAATGATTCGCACATGAAAAAATCAGAGGTGCGAGACCCGGGATTTGAACCCGCTTCACTCGGTGTCCCAAGCGAGCGTGTTACCACTGGCTACCACTGCCTTTAATTTAAATTACTTACTCAATTTTTTTATTTTTTAGGAAAAACGTAATTTTACTTGATTTTTGATTAAGTCTAAAATTCAGAACAAAATTAGAGTTATAATGTTAAATTTATCTATACATATAATAAAATTCTGAGTCGAAACTGTACATTAAATATTTATTGGAAAATCTTATTGAAATAGACAATATTATCGATACAGAGGCCGAATCTATAGTTTTTAGAATTTTTGTGTCTGCCTATCTGTCTGTTACCGCATCACAGAATAACCATTGGAGGGAGGGATTTTGTTAAAATTTGGTATGGTAATAGTTGGTATGGTAATAGTTGGTTATCCAGGTCACAACATATAGGATACTTGTTACCGCGGAAAAGTATCTCATTTCTGAGAAAAAAATACATAAACTGCAATAAAAGAGTATACTAATATGTAAAACCTAAGAATTTGGTCTTTGGTAATCTGAACGCGGGCGGAGCCGCGGGCAATGCTAGTTGATTATAAATTTTGAGCATGGCAGTTATGTTTATTTAAACAGCCAATTTCAGGGCCACCACAAATAAACCACCAAAAAGCACAGGTGTATAAGCGCGATACCACCCATCACCTGTACTCCAGTAGAGACTCTATCTCCAACTTCATTTATCTTCTGTATCCCGCTACATTGATATTAGGATCTTAAATCCAGATAAAACTAAAAACTTTACCTACTATGTTATGATTTATGAATATGAAGATTAAATTTCATTTATTTTTTATTTATTAACCGACTCAAACAGGAGGTTCTCAATTCGGCTGTATTTTTTTAATGTTTGTTACCTCAGAACTCCGTCATTTATTAATCGATTTGGTCATTCTTTTTTTTTTGTTTGAAAGTGTATACTTCCTGTTTGGTCCCATTTAAATTTGAAGACAAAATACCATCCCTAAGAGTAGAAAAATAACTAATGAAAAATTTACTGACTTCGAATTGTCATATTGACTGTGCAAACGTTCATATTTCCGTTGATAGTGTAGTTATTCGATACCGTCGAATTGTTCCATTCCTAAAAATCGTAGCTTGATATCAGATAGCCCACTGCTTTCCTCAATTAATAGAATATAACTCGTTAAATATAAGTACTATATACATCCATACATAAGTATTTTAAAATTAGACTGGTAGTTCCAGAGTATTAATAACCAACAAAAATAATAATCTTTTCTATTTTACATATTAGAATAGATATAGGTATGTATGTATAACGATAATATTAGTCAAATTTATCACTTTGATATTTAATACAATTATTTTTTCTAACATATGCCGATACTAAGTAAAGTAAAAAAAAAATTCATTATACATTTTTTATAGTACCAGCGACAAAAGTCATCAGTAAACATGGAAAATTATTTTATGTTTTTTTTTTTGTTCTACAGCTATTCAATAAAAAATATCCCGTAGGTACCTACCTACATTTGTTCAATAAAAACACACTTCGAAACTTTCAAAACATAATTAATCTTAAAAAAACTTTATACGCACTTAGTTCCGACTTCCGCCTGTTATGACAGCCTTTTGTGTATGCTAAACAGAGACATCACACGAATCTTTATTACTTACATACTGTATACATAAATATTCGCTTTTGACAAGAATCAACTTGTCGTATTTTTTTAATTAAATTGATATAAAGCATAAATGTTCTATGAATCGAATATTGTGAACGATTACATTTAAAATTTAAACACAATAAAACACGTTTTGTGATGTTACCAAAAAATTATGTGCTTTGCAGTGGAAAAAAAACATAGCTTTTAATAACAAAAGCTTGGGCATTTATTTTATTCGATAACTATTTCGTTGAACTAAAATAACATAATAATATGCTATTTATTTATAACGGCCGATTTCGAGGCCATTATTCAGTTAGGGATTACATTTGATATTTATTTGATAAATATATCAAAAATGGTTATGCAAATCATACTAACATGTATATTAAACTATAAAGGTGAATTAACAAAACGAACAAATCGTGTTTTTTAAATAATTATGTGTACGTACTGGGCGTGAGATCAGTTGTTGTATTATTACTGATTGTTAAATTGTAATAGGTTTATAAAGTTATTGTAAATAAAGATTGTTTCTTTAGTTCAGAGATTTTATCTACTGTGGTTATTCTTATTTAGTTACGATCTTAATTCATTTAATCGTCCCTCTCACGTAAAAATGACTTGTACTCATGATGTGTTGTTGTTAGGCGCTGGCGTCAAGATGGAGCATTTCCAGGCGGCGCTGGACCCTCGCAAGCAGGAGCTGCTGGAGGCTCGCTTTCTGGGCGCCAAGGTCAGCAACATTTTGTACCATATGTAGACTATCAAATTATTAAAATAAGGGACCTTTGCAATGTATCGATATGCACCTATGGTAGATTAATGGAATAACTGTTAACATACTCCATATCCATAATCCATAAATCTAAAATACTTAACATGAGTGTTTTGTGAATAATAAAAAAACATATTCTACATAGGGCACATTTTTGGTTAGTGCATTTTTCAAATATATACTATATGAATATAAATAAAAGTGACTGTAGAAATTTAACTCTAGAGCCCTAATCTTAATTCCAAATCAAAGATGGCGGTTGCAATGATGTTTTCGTATCGATTCTTTTGTTCTCTCAACGTTTCCTGTGCGCTCTGTTAGGTTGTTAGTTCAGTTTATCGGCTACGCGGAGACGTTGCTATGTATCATTGGGCTACGTCAGCACACAAACTCAAGCTTACGTGTACAAAAGAAAATGGCCGCATCGCTACCATAATGGAAAGAAACGGGCATTGTTCATGTACGCTATGATGCAATTATATTGGCGAAATTACCCTTTTTATTTGTAGGTTACAATCTTTTTATTCGTAATTCATTCGTTATTATATGCTGCGATTATTTCGTTTAATATAAATGACGTGACATAATAACTTTGTTGGGTTGATAAAATGCATGAAAGATAACTGACTAACAATTGTGGCTTGAAATTTGTAAGTAACGTGTTTGAGATAATACATACACTAAACGACGCGACGGTTTCGGTCAACCCCACCTGAGTGAACCGTTGCTGCGCGTACTCGCGCCGGCAACAGCGGATTATTGTGTTGTCGCACCGCTTACCTTAGATACATAAATAGCTAACATACATATATTGTGGTCTCGAGCAAGTAAGTGCTGTAGATATGTAATTCCATTATGTGTCTCGCCTCCGTCCGCCCCCCCTACCCGCGCTTCTCTTCTACTCCCCTCAGTGAACCTATTGACGCGTCATTTTGCCGCGCCAGAGCATTGGTTTTATACGTTGTTTTGCTTTATAGCTTATTCAAATGATCTCCTTTATTAACCACGTCCCTTATTCGTTTGTGGAAGGTCCTTAATGTGAGTAACTAACGTTTGAAATTATTTAACCGGCACCCGCCTGCATATTTATTGTGACGTAAATTATTGAATACCTCTAATAAGCGCTATAGCATACCGTTCTCAGTCTATATAATTATAATGAGCGCCGTAGGTATGAGACTACCATTTCGTCATTCGACAACAAGATGGCGGACGGACATAAATAGTTTGTCAGTAAATGTACGTTTGTGACTTATCAACCTACAAACAGATTGGTGCTCTCACTGCCTGACTGCGCGGAATCAGAGCGCAAAGTGCCTACGTAATTCTTTAAGAATATGTATTGCTTTTGCGCCGTGACAAGTTATAATATTTTTAGAACTTTATTTACATTTATGCTAATATGTCATGTAATCAAATAAATTAATGTAAATCCGAAATCGTAAAGATTATTTATAGAGTAATTAGTTCCACAAGGACATAGTTCTTAGTATGAAACCATAACAGATTCTTATATTTAATGTTTCTAAATATAAACTGTTCTAATAAGAGGGGTTTCTAAAATAAACGCATGGTTTACATGAGCGCATTGATCGCGTGCTTGCAGGTGAGCGCAGGGGCGATACTAGTAGAAACCCAACGAGTCACCGAGTTCAAGACGGTGAGTTTAGTCTTTTGAATTTACATTCTTCGATCAATATTGTCACATATCACTATGTATAGTAGATGCCCGCATAGGAAAAGTATCTGTTGCATGATGGCATACGCTAAATATAGAATTATACTTGTGCTACACGTACGGTATGGCGCCAGTTATCTGGATGACAATTTTATTACGTACGATAGATAATATAATAACATAGAGTTTAAGATATATTCTGATTTTGTCTCATTAAAATGTTTTTTATTTTAATGTATGTCAGTCGTAATATGTTGGTATATGATTATTTAACTGCACAATATATAGTATAATTTCCAAAATCCACATTTTAGCCTATTGAGTATTGATGTTAATCTCCGAGATTGTTATATTGTATCGATTATATACGCGACAGTGACAAGTAGTGACTACAATGTAGGTATTTGCGTGTGCAAGAGAGCTAGAATATGCCGGTGGCGTTGCGGACGGCCTCGATGAGCGTAGCAAGCGGCTTAGACTCGGGGCCGTGGGGTCACCGACACCGCCTCGCCCCGCGCCTATCTATCACCATCCAACCCGGGTGCTTTGCTATTTCACAATTTGATTTATTGCACATAAATGACAAGTTAACTATAACATTAGTCGTTGACAACAGTAATTAATATTAATTGTAAAAAATGATAAATATCACTGTTGTTTTTATTTAATTACATCATAAATATTATATGACTTTTCTCTTACTTAATCGAAGTGGACCATAACTTACAAACTAAGCCACCATCAAACTAACTGTTTAAATTATAGTATATTAAATATTTAGACTCGAAAACTAAAATTATTGCATAAAGTTTTAATTAAGACAGTATAAATAGTAGGTACCTATAACAATGTTCAGTCGGTAAGTTTACACATTCAATACGAAGGGAAATTATAACATGGCGCACACGGCCTCGCCCCGCCTCGACCACAATGTGCCGCCAAACCTCATTCCACCGCTTAGCCGCCCGGTTCCGCAGTTATTTTTACACAGCCCGACCTTTCGCACCGGTCATCACCGCACTCAGCATAATTTACATCTTAAATCGCACTCACAAACAATATATTTTCAAAATTTCACTATTCAGGCACTAATGATCGATTCGATTTCAAATACGACGCTTCTTCTGTAGCTGTAAGCCCATAGCCGTAATTTCGAAAGTGAATCGTAACTATTTGAACATATACGATCGTCGCGATCGTTGCATACGAAACGTCCACTCGTACAGACTGCCGCGAAGGCAATGAACGCGCGCTGCGGGGCGGCGGCGGGCGGGCGGCCTGTCATGCGTCAGCTGAGCGTCACGCCGCGACATTGCAAGGTCCGCCGTACCGCCTCGCCTGACCCACTGCGCCGTGCCGGCCGGCTTTTAATGCCGGTGCTTTGATAGAACATTCATATACTTTTATAGGAAAATATGCAAAAAAATATTTAGTATATCAGCTATGTGCTAATGTACAGTACAATTTCTACTAATATCGAATAATAATTGTTGTAAAAACAAGCGACAAGTAGAGCGCACTAGTCAGCCGGTTTGCCCCGAGGCGACACGTCATTTGTTGTGAATGGAGCGCCGCGCATGCTCGCTACGCTCGCTTGACTTGCTTTACAGAGTTGTTTTCAACTATATTGAGACCTAATATGTTCACACTTAAGTGCCTCACATTATTTTTATTTTGAAATGTTTTATAATAAAATTGCTATACTTCGGATTTGTTTTATGTCGCTAATAATATTATAGTTTTTATACTACAAATAACAAGTTAGAATTATAATTGACATTATAAGAATTTTTAGTATATTATTTACCTCTTATATAAATATGACAATATATCTGCCCGATTAAGATAAAACATAAACTTAAATATTACATGGCCATGCTGGTTTAATGATGGACCATTCGAACTTCTCGACAAAAACTACGTAGTTTACAAACAAAAGTTTGTATTTTTAATGAAATATTTTTCTACGTTTATTTAAAAGTGGAATTCTTTTAAGGAAGTAAAACTAACTTGAAGTTATTGACGTCACGTTACATATAAATTAAGGAAATAATGATTATGGATATCATTACGGGTGAATTTTGTATATATGTATTTAGTTCTTTTAATAAATTTGCTATATATATTTTACAACACAGAAATATAGCATCTCGATGTTATTATTTTTCAATAGATTATTATTATTGTACTTAATGCAGCTGAATTAAACTAGTCTGTCGTCACACTCTGACTCGTTAACTATTTATGACCCGCGATATTATGCAAATAAAAGAGAAAGAACAAACACAATCTAACAAAGACTAATAAATACTATGTTCATAAGATTTATACATATAATAAAATTGTAACTAAGCCGAATCTGTACTTTAAATATTTTTCGGAAAATCTTATTGAAATAGTCATTTTTATCGATACAGAGGCCGAATCTATAGATTTTAGAATTTTTGTCTGTCTGTCTGTCTGTTACCGTATCACAGAAAAACTACTGTAGGGATTTAGATGAAATTTCGAATGGTGATAGCTGGTTATCCAGGTCAACATATAGGATACTTTTTACTGCGGGAAAATGTCTCATTTCTGAAAATCTATAATATATTATTATTTAATAATATTTTGAGTCAAATAACATTGAGACTATGGAGAGAAACTTTGAAATTTGATAATACATTATTATTATGTAATATTAGATACTCGGTAAAACTAAAAAGTGAGAGGTTCGTGCATAGAATAGTTGGTAGCACAAGAAATAATCAATAATGCAGGGTCGGATTCCAATCTCGTGGCGCCTCGTTGGCGTTGCACACTTGTGGCTGAAATTGCGCCCTAACCTCCCCCTCCGCTCTCACCTCGGGCCCTGCACACCCCTCGCACTAGAAAATTGGGTTAAACAGCACGCGGCTGAATACCGCACCGGAAGAGGGGATTTCGGGGTCCGCGGAACTGCGCTTCTACAATGAATGCGGGACAGAGATGTGACTGAGTATTGATTGTCTTTAACATCGAGACGCAGTTTCCTGCGCCGCAGTTATGCACACGCCCCATCCACTCGGTTTTTATAAGGAGTTCGACTAAACACAGATACGAACGACCTTGACAAAATTATATCCATATTAGTTCAACTTCAGAGATTATAAAAAATATACATACGAAATTAGCGTGACGTGTTTAGTATAGGTGTAAACACTGATAAATTAATAATGTAAACTACTAATTAGGTAATGTTACCATACAGCTACTAAAAGTAAAAATAAATAAGTAATACAATACTCAAGCATATGTACCTAACTATAAAAGATAACGATTTTGTAAGATACTTATTAATTACTAGCAGAACCCTTCGCTCGCGCTAAACTAAAAAAAAACTCTAAAAAGGTAGGTTTCATACAAACTTTATCCCCTATTTTACCCCCTTATGGGAAAATTGCGATAAATGCTTTAGCATTTTGCTGCTGCTTTAGCTTTAGCGTGTTTTAACACGTATTTATTTAATTCAATTGAAGAGCATTAATAATACTAAGTTTCAAGTAAATCTGACCATATTTTTTGGGTTGTCTTATAACTTGTTTTCCCATGGGAATGAGATAATCTGCCGCGGCAAAAAGTAGCCTATGTCACTTTCCAGCCTTCCAACTTTCTCCACACAAAATATCACACCAATCCGTCACTGCGTTTCGACGTGAAAGAAGGACAAACAAACACACTCACATTTATAATATTAGTACGGATATAGTATACTCTATACTTTAGACTTAGTTGACAGTAACAAAATAATTTTGCCTTTTCAACTATCGAGTTTTATAAACTAAACCATATGACCTTGTTATGTATAATGTTGCGACTTACAATTATATAACTAACCTATACCTAAGTATTACTACATAGATCGATACATTAAATCGTGTAGTATTTTAGTTTGAGTATATATAAAATATATGTTTTACTGTCGTTGATATAACAGATTTTAACCTTCTTATCGATTTACAACGATATGTTTATTATTATAATACTAGACAAGTACAATACAATCAATATAATATACACTAATTACTAATATTATAAATGTGAAAGTGTGTTTCTTTGTTTTTCTTTCACGTCGAAACGGAGTGACGGATTAACGTGATTTTTTGTGTGGAGATGTTGGAGGGCTGGAAAGTGACATGGCTACTTTTTACCGCGGGAGTTATAAATAATTAATAAAATTATTGAAAATACAAACAATAAAACCAAATAAATAAATCGATTCAAATTTAATTCTGATCTTATATATCTTTTTCTATAATAAATAACAGAAGATGAAATTAAAGAAACAAATATTATAAACAATAATGATATTCAATCTAATAAAATTGATATAACAATTTTTATAATTAATGATATAAAACAACCAAAAAATTATTTATGATCAGAATTACTTGAAACTAGGTATTAATGCTCTTCAAGACAATTAAAAAAACACGTGTTTTAGCATTAATCGAAATTCATCGAATTTAAGTTTGTATGAAACCTACATGAGCATTATTCGGATTTAAGTTTATATGAAACCTACTTTTTTAGAGTTTTTCTTGTAGTTTTAGGCGAGCGAAGCCGCGGGCTCTGCTAGTAGTCTATAAATATAAATATTTCATAAAATTTCTATACATTTAATAAACAGTAAGTAATGGTTTATATAAAAAAATTAATTGCCTATTAATTGTACCTATGTGGCCTACCTATACATCTACGCACATTATGCATCGACGTACATAAATAATTGTTGCCAGCTCGCTTACTTTCCATTCGCCTGGTGCTAGGTGTGCTAAATATAGATAGAACAATAAGTACTGACTTATAAATTATTAGAAGTTTTTATTCGATTTACGGGACCGCGAGATATTTTTTTTAAATCCATTTTTTTTTAAATATAAAAAGTTATAAAAGTGTATATTTGATAGTTGGTTTATTATCTGATACGCAAGCCTTGCTAGAAAAACACGTATTAAATTCACGTGATACATAAATTTTCTTATCATTAATTTGATCCAGTCGAAATGCGTTGCATTCGTTTAAATATTACCACAAATGTTGGTTTTAGCAAGGTGGTGGGTTGTTTCGAATTGAAGAGGCGGGGGCAGGAGGCACCGGGGAAGTGCAGAGCGGCAACGTAACGATGATAACGCTAATATGCCCGTTTGATATGTTTCATCGCTTGTTATTCTGCTTGAAATCATCGATGTTTTATAAAAAGCTAGCGATCGCCATCGTTTCGCGTACGCACTAGTAGTTGACCCGCATCTTTCGATAGATTAGTGCAATAATATTCCACAACGAGTAACGACTACTGAATTTATTGGCAGGAAATGGGGCTTATGTCACTTAAGGATAATGTAGCTAATAAGTAGTGAAAACATTTCAGAGTCGTTTCACAAGTTCCGAAGCTTATCTTTGTACGTGTGTTTGTCACCTAACTCCCCCAATATCGAACCACCATCGAACTCCCTAAAGGGCTGGACCGATTTGGATGAAATTTTGTGTGTTAAATTCAGGGTATGAAATTATCAAGATAAATATATCTTTTGATAATTATCAAGATAATTATCACATAATTATCCGATAATTATCAAACAGATATAACTTAGCAATCCTTGTGTAGGTATTGGTATTTGACTATTTTCCTATCATAATTTACGTTAGAATAAATTATACACTTTTAACAATCAAGGTAATCTTTTTTATTATTATTTTTTTTATTATTTTGACATGTACAAACTTGGAAATAAAAACAGAATAAATTTAACCAACTATATAGACACTATTTAATTAAATTAAAGGTCTCTGCCCACTACACTGTCTCATACCATGACAGTGCTAGGACCGTGTCAGGCAAAAAGATATTCTTTGTATTGAAAAATATGAGACTACGCCCACTAGACCGTTCCATCACCGACCAAGACCTTTCCGTCACCGACCAACACCGTCGCGTGCCGTGCGTGGAAAGTTAACAATAATTGTCTTCTAGTGATAATGTTTTCTTTTAAATTATTATTATTTTAAAACGGCGTGAACTTAGTAACGTCGTGATTGACTGATGTTATTCTCTTTCTTCCTCGTCTAAAACAATGGCTATCATTTTTAATTCTCTGTCGGACAAATTTCTAATAGCCATCGGTACCATATATAGGTATAGGAAATAATTTTCGTAACAAAAATATTCACTCGTTCTTTCTGACGCGGCTGCCTCACGCGAAAACACAGGTGAACTACTACGACTGAGAAAACTTGAACTATGTATACGGATATGACACGCGGATGATACGCGGTTGATACGCGAATGATACGTTCTAGTGGGCGACACGGACTACTATTAGTCCGTGTCGCTTGTTTCCGTGCCTGATACGTTCATAGTACGGTCATGATATGATACGGTGTAGTAGGCAGACTCCTTAATGATTGGAATATCATCCTCATCCTCCTCAACTGCATTAACTCAGTTTGCTTTGAATTGCATTGAGTTTTTTGAGCTGATTGAGAGAGTTCTGTTTGCTGATCGACAATTTGAAGAGTTACAAATTAAACATTTCCAATTATATTTATCAAAGATAATTATCAACCCATATTTATCATCATGATAATTATCAATGATAATTATCGTTTCGAACCCTGGTTTAATTTAATGGGTTCCGCTAGATAGGTGGCGCTGCTGTTGGTATGTCCCTGTTCTTCTCCTACACGGCAGGGACGATTTTAATGATATTTTTTGTGTATGTTCGAGTGGGCCCCTGCAAGATTTGAATTCACAAATGGACCCGGTAGGTGGCGCTGCAGTTGGTGTGTCACATCACATTAGTTATAATATAAAACCAAAGAGATTGTTGTGTTAGTAGTTTGAACTCGGGCGGAGCCGCGGGTACTACTAGTAGAATCTATACATATACCTAATAAAATTGTAACTTAGCCGAATCTGTACATTAAATATTTTTTGGAAAATCTTATTGAAATAGACATTATTATTGATACAGAGACCGAATCTATAGTTTTTAGAATTTGTGTCTGTCTGTATGTTACCGCATGACAAAAAAACCACTGGAGGGATTTTGATCAAATTTGGTATGGCGATAGCTGGTTATCCGGGTCAACATATAGGATACTTTTTACCGAGGGAAAATATTTCATTTTTAAAAGAAATCTACACTAAACTTTAAAACGTAACTAGGGACGAACCCGAGCGGAGCGAGGGTGAGTTGCTAGTATACATATATAATAAGTTGACAGGACGTCAATAACACGGTGTGCATTGTGGACCTTACATTATTCATTCGATATTTAACGAGTTCATATCAAAGTTACTAGTTAAAATTGGTCATTTTTTAGATTTTATTTAGATTATAAAACTTGTTATGTAATTGACCGATATATGTTAAAAATAAACCTTTTTAAATACATATTATACAACTGAATCATGTGGTATTTAAACATTATTACGTGCTTAATACATATATAGAGAGATAGATAAGCACCTCTCCTATCAATCATATGCGTAAAAATAACTTTGTTTTATTGCTCTACATATTCCGACAATAAATACCCAGATTGCATTAGATAAACATTTTTCTACTTCATATGAAAATATAGTTTTTTAACATCTTAATTAAATATCAAAATGGAATGCACAGTAAAATATATACATAGAGTAACTATTACAAGCACGATAATACTAATGAATCAAAAATGTTATTAAATTGCTATGATAGCTTTTTAGCTCTACATTTAGAATTAGATAGATTCTTAGTCCCAAATTAGGGAGAGAATTCCGTGAAATACCGGATAAGCGGTTTCCCGGAAAACCTGTCTTACCGGTTTTCACATCTACATACATTTAACATAATTCTTTCTTGAGTCTTTAATTCATTATGGTTATTAAAAAAACAATAACCCTTTAAGTCGGAAAGAAGCGTTATTGAATGCTTGACAAATCCGTGAACCTCATGTTGGAATCGCTTTCTCCGTTGTTTTTGCCAGCACGTTATTGCCCTCCCATTTTACATTGGTACGTCACGTTGCGAAGATTTCTTAATAGTTTTTTTTATTATAATACTAACAGAACCCGCGGCAACGCCCGCGTTCAATCTACAAAAAAACCTTGGCTTTATGTTATACAGCGACTCACTCTAGCTTTACTCGGGTTCGTCGCTATGTATTTATATACAAAATTTCATACAAAAATACTAAAATCAAGATTAAAAAATGGAGAGTGGGGAAAATGGTAGGATGAAAAAAACTTTACAACCATTCTCATATCTACCAAAAATTACAATATATATATATATATATATATATATATATATATATATATATATATATATATATATATATATATATATTAGATAACTAAATATAAATACTTATTCGTTATCATGAACAACGTAATAGGACGTAGATTTCTACTCGTAAAAGCTTTCTTAAATTGAGCTATTTTTATTTTAAGTTCTACATTTTTATTAGAAAAACATTTTTCTCATCGTGATTTAGTTGCCTTTACTTGGTGGTTGGTTGGTTGGCAGAAATATTGAAATATGTACCTATTGACGAACATTTCTATTAAACAATGATAATAAATATTTCTTCTGTTTATTGCTTGAAATACATACTTCTGAGAAAGCATATTTACATTATTCAAGCATTCGACATAATATTTACATTATAACACAATATGTAAGTGTTGAAAATCTTGAACCATACGTAAAATAATACGCACACGGCACAATAATTCAATTACGAATTAAATAATAATGTTCTCAGTGGTAAAATAAAATAATTCTATAATATGAGTCGAACTGCGCTTATCTACCTATATAAAATATTCAATGTTTATTGCGCTAGTATGCCTACCTATATAATATGTAAGTTTATCGCGCATATAGCTTGGCCGCATTCAGCATACCTATGTAGTAGGTATGTACATATATTTAGGTATGTGCTCTGTACGTACCTACGTTCATATCTGTGTTTATGTTGGTACATCGCGGCACAGACGCCTACGTAACACGTCCAGTAAGCAGTTTGTTGTGGGGCACGAGCGCCGATATCACGTACTCGTTCGCCGCAGGTCGGTGGCACTCCGCCCGCCACCCGCCGTTGCCACCGCACCTCGTTGCGGGAATAATCGGTCAAGTCGATTTCATTCCGACTACTTTTATATATTCTCAGTGATCACATTCTAGCTTAATATCACTATTTTGTATTGATCTTAAATCTTTCAATAACCATATAAAACTGCATAACACTGTGTTTCTGCTTATAATTTGCGACCATTCTATCTACTTGCAATGTATGCAATTATGGGCTGTTGACCCGCCGTTCTAACTTCTAATGCGATCCGTATCTTTCGCAATAGGCAACTTTGCGAAATGCATTTATAAGAAAATTTAAATCCACGCATAGGTGTATACTGTTTAAGTTTTTATTGAATTAACAATGCTTCTGGCCTTGTATCCTTGTAAAATGGCGCCTCGCCCGACGTTATTATTATTACATTCGAAGCGAACTTCGTGACGATCTCCATTCTCCAGCCCCCCGCTCCGACACTCCCCGCGGATGCGTATCCGATTGTCGCGAGTCGCGACTGGCGTTTACGACTTGTCAAACAAGTTAGGTTATTCGGATTATTGAAGCGAATATTCACAAATATAATAAAAAATGGATTTCCGTATACGTAAATAACCAGTGAGTAGTATTGTTTGTGGCCAGAAATGTGAGAATACTCTGTGAAATCAGAAATAAACTGGGCGAGTCATATGTAAAGACGCCATCTTTCTTTACAGATGTCAGCTGGGTCACAAATTCAGATGGCACCACAAACTACTGTCAACACGGGGCAGCCACTACATAATCAGGACTCCAATATGAGCACAGGTAAAGTGTGTGTATAAGTGGTATAAGTGCAGTTTAACCTTGTGATGTGTTCAGTGAAGTTAGTGTTAGTTATTACACGCTCACAAGTTCTCAAGAGGCTAACCTTATTTATGAACTTTGAGGACTTAAACTTCTATGGATAACTGCCATCGAAAGGATTGTGACGTAAACTTTTTGTGTATAATGCCGGATAAGAACTGTGAAAGTGTAATTTTTTCCACTGTGATCCAAAACTATTGCGTGACACAATGCATGACTATAAAAGTGGAACTAACGTGAACCACATCGGTCTGCTCAGCTCTTTGTCAAAAAGTGAGTTAATGTTTATCTCTGCATACTGAGCTTGTGTCGAGTAGATTTTGTTATGCTGATAAATATGAAGTGGGACAGTCATTTTCCCAATACATAGTTTACAAATTGTTTGTGTACATTAGTCTGTTTAGTAGTACTTTAATTTTTATCGAATAAATTCCAACCGAATAGTGCCTGTTACTTAATTTTAAATCTTTATTATATTTATGACCTTCCAGGGTCTTCGCATAGTGATAAAGAAATAGATGCTTTGACACCTGAAAAGTCAGCTGCTATGAGAGGTTCAAATGCAGTCCCTGGCAGTGCTCTTGTACCACCAAGTGGTGCCACACCTACTATAGCGATGCCAGAAAGGAAAAGAAAACGAAAAGGTATTTTAATATTTGCTATGTTCTCAAAAGAAACAGGATAACAGTTTTATGTACCTAGCTTTCAAGACATTTATATTTTTACCATGATCTTTTAGGTGACGAAGGTGTTGGCGGTGGTGGAGGAGGTGGTGGCAAACAAAGGCATAACTCATCAGACAAAAATATTAGAGAATATTTTTCAAAACATCCCTCATCTAGTCCTGTCCGGCATGCTGGTGCAAAGTCACCTTCGCCACAGGGCGCAAACTACCCTATGGTAACTATGATATTACATGACTTAACTATTCACAACAAGAATATGTTTATTATATTCAATTATTTAAAGAAAAATACTTAAATAGTATGTATGATATTCATGAATTCATAAACAAAATTTCTTTAACAAAGTTTGAAATCTTAAATTAGCTTATTAGAATTCTTTTCAACATTTCATTTCTCAGTAAATAATATTACATTTTCACGTAATTTAATTCAGTACCCACCTTCACCTTCATCATCACTGCCCTTGGGAGCTGATTTTCTACGTTCCGCCTCGCAACAGAGACCTCACACTTCTGAAAAAAAGGTATTATTACATTTCACATTATACATTGTTATAATGTATCTTCTATTGACATTAACTTAACATAGGCTTAATATTTAATATATTCTCTAAAAGCTAGATGCTTAGAAAAATTATAATCTTGAATTTAAATTACTGCAAAAATTTAATTCACACAATTTAATGTTTTAAGCAAAGAAAGAAATATTTTAAATGTTTTTTTTTTTTCAAAATTTACTTTTTTACCAACAGATTTCAACAGAACTGACATGTCAGAGGATACAAGAGTTAGAAACTCAAGCTTCGTCTGACTTAGAACTAAGGAATAATAGAATAGAAGAATTAACAAGAAATAATGAAGAGCTAAAACACCAGGTTCAAGCACAGAGCAAGGTATCAATATAATTTCTGTTAGAACTTTACAAAATATAGAGTATCTTATATATTCAATGAACAAAACATTTTTTATAATTGGTTTCTTTATATGATTTGACTCAAATAAATAAAGATGGTTGTCGCTACTGTGTAAAAAATAATTTGTGATGTTTTTGTTACAGGTGATAGATCAACAAAAATCACATATAAATAAATGTATAGAAGTGGTTAAGAAATTGTTAAATGAGAAAAGTACTATTGAAAAAAAGGAAGCTAGACAGAGATGTATGCAAAATAGATTAAGACTTGGTCAGTTTGTTACTCAGCGTGTTGGCGCTACCTTCCAAGAGAATTGGACTGATGGATATGCATTTCAAGAATTAACTAGGTAACATTTGTTTCTTCTCAATTTATAATTATTATTTTACTGCCATTTTGGTGGTCTATGCAGTATGTACTTGCTCTAAGTATTTGTATGATATTTAGTTTTCAGTTGCTCATGTATATTTTATCTTGTTATATGGATAAATATTAATTTGGCTGTATATATTTACCTGATCCATGGGATCACGGGAAGCTCCCCCATCACCAACCTTGGATAAATTAAATTTATTCAAACGTTTCAGTTCAACGGGAAAACTTCCTTCTTCTTTTTCACAACAACCTATAAATAATTGTTTAGAAATATATAAATAATAATATATCTTTTTTTAAATGTTTTGTGAATGTTTAATATCATTTTTAGTAGAATTATATAGTTTGTATTGCCTCAGTTGCATTAGCAAAAGGCATACAAGACTAGCTATTCCTCTTGACTGTGTTGAGTTAAAGAACATGATTAGAAATCTCTAAGAACATAATTTATTATATCATGTAATATATTTTAGTAAATACTAGTGATTCACCCTCGCTTCGCTCGGGTTCGTCCTTAGGTTGGTTCCCCATACAAACTTTAATCCCTATTTTCACCCCCTTTATGGGATGACTTCTGGGATAAAAAGTATCCTATGTCCTTCCCAGGGTCTCAAACTATCTCCTTACCAAATTCATCTAAATCGATTTAGTAGATCCAGAGATCTACTCCCTCTACAACGTCGCAAACTCACAAACTTTACCTCTTTACAATATTAGTATAGATAATACTTTCTTAGATTTACGCGAATATTTGTCATTTTAAATAAAACTTTTTCTTTTTCGGATTGTTTCGCGGATTTATTTAGATTGGTTGCCGTCGTTTTGAATGGTTTACAACAATCATGATCTCAGGAGAGATTTCTATAAAGATGATTTTATTTAAAATTTTATTAAGTAGATTATGATTGTCAACAAATACTCCACATGTTAAGGAATTTTTTAAGTTAACTTTCTATTTGAGTATGGAGACTTTACACATAGCTTAAAACATGTTATGGAAGTTGCCTTGAGCATTAATTAATGCCAATTAGCATAAATATTATGCTACTGTTTTCACATGCTACAAATATTTATACATATATCTATTTCATACATGAGAGCTTTCTAAGTCAGTTCTTTTTAAATCTTTGTCCATAAAAGTAATTAGGAGGACAACCATAATGTACTTACTACTTATGTACTTGCAATTCAATTCCATTATCTTTTAATGGCATCAAAGTGTGCCAGTTGAGCACGGATTACTTTGCCAATGTCATGTAGAATGGAGAAGACAACGTACTTGCATATTTACAATATTAGGCAAGCATATATCTGACATTGTGTTATTAAATAATAATAAAAAACTCATTACAGGCGGCAAGAAGAAATAACGGCAGAAAAAGAAGAAATAGATAGGCAAAAGAAGCTGTTGTCAAAGAAGCGGCCGTCGAACGAGGGCGGCGGCGGGCGCGGCAAGCGCACGTCGAGCGTGTCCGCGCCCGCCACGCCGCAGCCGCAGCCGCTGCACAACGGCACCGACGCGCCCACCTTCCTCAAGCCCGACCCCCTGCCCAGCATGACGTGGCAGGAGTATTACGAGGCTGATGAAATACTTAAGGTGTGTATGCTTTTTTTATATAAATATAGAGAATAAATAAATATGTTGGGACATTATCATTTGGCTTGCTTTCATAGCAAGCAAAAGTATCCCTTACTCGAGGCATCTTCCTGTGTATTCATAGGATATGCAAGAAATAGGGAAATATGAAGGAAAAGCAGGATGGGATAGAGGATGATGTGGGTTTTCAAGTGGTCTTTGTGGTAATACTTATTATTAGTCAATAAAATGTTTCACATATTTGAGTGAAATGTGTATGTATTAATGTTGATTAGGATTTATAGTGTTTTTTATCTTAAAGGAAGTAGCAAACTCATTCTGAGTTTGTTGTACTACTATTCTTTTTTTCAAAATTTGTATTGGAAATATTTAAAATGATCAAAAGAAGCAAAATAACAGTTTTATAATTTGTTTCTTTTTGAGATGAATATCAAACACACGATATACTCGTAATAACATAGATAGACGCGAAATATTTCGAAAAGATAGTTTTATTTAAAATGTCAAATATTCACGTAAATCTAAGAAAGTATTAAAGATAGAGTATTTAAATAAGATTCATAAACTATAATGATAGTATAATCATTTCGTTTCAATTGGTTGAGTGGATACAAAGTAACTTGAGCTATGATTGACTTGGTCCTATTGTGGAGTAAATGTGCTGGGCAGGGTACTAAATACATGTAATTTAATCAATTTTAATTTTAACAGCATAATAAAATAAGTATATAAATGTTAGAAACATCTGTACAGATAAATAAAATTGAAGTGTCCTTTTGTAATGTCAAAATAACAGCATTTTACTAAATGCATATGAAATTATATACACAATTTTAATTTTAATACAAAAAAACACAATTTTTAAAATTTTTGTCTGTCTGTTGGTCTGGAGATAATCTCTGAAACGGCTGGACTGATTTTGACGGGACTTTCACTGGAAGATAGTTGATGTATATGTATGTGTATAGGGAGTAACATAGGCTATTATTATTTTAAAAAAAGAATTAGGGTTTTGGTTCAAAAAAATTAAAACATACCTAGAACCCAAGCATAGCGAGACTGAGTCGCTAGTTTAAAATATAAATTTTAATTTTCATACAAACATTATTAATCTACATTAAAATAAGGATTATGTTTGATTACAATTTCAGTTGAGGCAAAGTGCCTTAAAGAAAGAAGATGCAGATTTGCAGCTAGAGATGGAGAAATTAGAAAGGGAAAGAAATTTACATATTCGAGAGCTTAAACGGATACACAATGAAGACCAAAGTCGTTTCTCACAGCATCCTGTGCTCTCGGAGAGGTAATACTATTATATTTATCTTATTATATACTACGCAGTCAGCCCTTTTTAACGTCCCTCTGCTGGGCACGGGCCTCCCTTCAATACGAGGGGGATCAGGCCATAGTCCACCACGCTGGCCAAGAGCGGGTTAGCTTCACATGTCTTTTGAAAACTTGCTAGGTACTCTCAGACATGCAAGTTTCCTTACGATGTTTTTCTTCACCGTAAGACAAGTGGTAATCATGTTGGATATGATTCGCATCATGGAAATATCAGAAGTTCGAAACCTAGATTTGAACCCGCTTTTCTCGGTTACCCAAGCGACCGCGTTACCACTGGGCTACCACTGCCTTTTCGCTTGCTTTTTTGATTATACTACTAGCATTGCCCGCGGCTCCGCCCGCGTTTAGATGACCAAAAACCAAATTCTTAAGTTTTACATATTAGTGTACTCTTACATTGTAGTTTTTGTGTTTTTTCTCAGAAATTAGACATTTTCCCGTGGTAAAAAGTATCTTTAAAGTATATGTTGACCCGGATCCAGCCAGCTATCACCATACCAAATTTCATCAAAATACCTCTATTGGTTTTTCTGTGATGCGGTAACAGACAGACAGACAAAAATTCTAAAAACTATAGATTAGGCCTCTGTATCGATAATAATATTTATTTCAATAAGATTTTCCAAAAAAATATTTAATGTACAGATTCGGCTTAGTTACAATTTTATTATACATATGTATAGATATTATTATAATTTATATTCTTCTTACTAAGTGGCCGTGTTCAGATCTCTCATTAGGAAACGATTGTGCGATGAGACGTAGCAGACTGTAGAAGAACTAAGCACGGTATTGAAAAACAATAGTGTGCCGTGTTTTGATACTAACAGAAAGCAAACAATATAGTGAGATGTCACAATGTTCTCTGTTTCTGCTTTATATAGAACGCGAAGCTACATTTTTCGTAATAGTGTATTGCTTTCATAAAAGTGCATTGAAACTAAATAAAAATGAATTTATTATTGCTAAATTCAATATCATTTTTAAAGTATTTTAACAATAAGTTTCTTTTTTATACATACTTTTAAATTTGTACTACATATTCTAAGATTTTAGGGCAGATTTTCGTTATTCTTTTTTATTTGAAAGTACTGTACTAGCGAGTTTCATGTTTACATTTGCATATGGTGGTGATCTGATGATGAAATTCAAAGATTGCTTATCTTCGTACAGATTCGTTACAGATCTCCGTAGAGAATAGAAGTAAGCTGATTGATCCAAATATTTGATTTTTGATATAATAATAATTTTTACTTCTTTAAAAGAGAGGAAAAGAAAACAAAATTTATATTTTGATTCTTTATAATTGACTAGGAAGTTTTTATTTATTACTCTTTGGGTTATTTAGAAATATTTGAAATGAGTTTCCTTATGTTTATTTTTACAGTAGTCACAAAGAATGGGGACTTAAGACAGTCCTTCACAAGCTTGATGACTGGTTTTATGTATCTAAAAAATAAATTATGTTCTAAATGATTGTATGTTTATTGTAATATAGCATTATAGTATTATAATTTAAAATCATTTTGAATATTATAAGCCTATTACAAAATATAATTCTAGTAAATTCATCACCACCATCATTAGCCTTTTTCAGTCCACTGTTGGATATATGCCTCTCTCAGAGAGTGTCTTTGAGCGCGATCTTGAACTTTGTGCATCCAATCTATAACCGCCGTACGGCTCAAGTCGTCGCACCGTCCAGCAGAAGGGCGTCCCACACTGCGTTTCCCTAGTCGTGGTCTCCATTCGAGAACCTGCTTGGCCGGCCACATCTGCCGGAAAAGGGATATCAGTTGGACGGTTATCCGTTTTCCTGCAGATGTGGGCGGCCCACTGCCACTTTAGCCTGCTGATTTTCTGAGCAATGACACAGGTTTTCTGTCTGATAAATTCATTTCTGAATTTGTCTTTCAGAGATGAGAAGATTGAGAGCATGGCTCTTTCAATAGCACGCTGTGTGACGTTTAGTTTGTGAACCACCTTTGACGTGAGTGTTCACGTTTCAGCGCTGTAGATTATAACAGGCAGGGCGCACTAGTTGAAGACTGGTTTTGAGACACTGTGATATGGGCGAGGTTAAAACGTTTCGCAATTTCCGGAACGCTGCCCAGCCCAGCTGTATTCTCCTTTCTATTTCCTTCTCGAAATTGTTTACTGAATTGCAAAATTTTCCCGTGATTCTGAGACAATTTCGAGAGTGGTATCAGGAACAGTGACTGGTCTCAGAACAACAAGCTCGTTATGCATAATTTTTGTTTTATCATAATTCATTTTGAGACCAACACGTAAATCTAGTAAATAACTAAAACTAAATGGCTACTATTTATTTATTGTATTAAGTTATAAAAGTTTAATAAGCATCATTATAAGATAAGCTTAATATGTTTCAGATACAATATTACTATTATGTATTAAGTGTAATGTATTTACTTTGAAATTTAATTAAAATCATTATCTTTATTGTATAATAGCTATAATATGATTGGCACATTAAGTAAACAGTGATATAAAATAAGATATAAAAACTTAGTAAAAATGCTATTGTAGGCATATATACATAGGTCTTGAGATAACATTGCCAATTGTAATTTGAATATACTATGATAGCTCAAGTTTGACATTTATATAGGATCACCCTACATAAATAAAAAAAAGTGTGTGTGTACTTTATGTACGCACGTAAGAAGTTATACTTCTTTGGCGTAACAGAACAAAAATGCTAAAGATTTCATCCCCTATGTCACAACTCTCTGTTTGTAAAAGCAATGCAGCTAACTTCATCATGTCGCTTTTTGGCTGCCGGTATGCGCGCGCATCGTAAAAATGTTACTCTCATAATTTTTTCCTCAAACATGATAAAAGAAGTATAATTTCAAAAACTTTTAGAGTGATTTCGAAATTGGTGAATCTTTTTAATTTAAAAGTAAATTTACTAATGGGTTTAATTTATTTTACTAATGGGTTTAATTTATTTCCAGGTATTTACTCTTAATGCTACTAGGCAAGGGTGGTTTCAGCGAAGTGCACAAAGCGTTCGACCTGCGCGAGCAGCGCTACACGGCGTGCAAGGTGCACCAGCTCAACAAGGACTGGAAGGAGGACAAAAAGGCCAACTACATCAAGTGAGTCTGTACACCAACACTCCGGCAATATTAATGTCCTTAGTTCCTATTGGCATTGTGTTGCGACCTGTTTTTCCTTTCACATTTAAATTATTTTACAAAGCTTTTTATGTAACTTGAATTATATAAAGTTAGTGTTTTTTTTCGTTTATTTTAATAAAATATACGTTTTTTGTTCTAGACATGCACTGCGGGAGTATAATATACACAAGGCTCTTGATCACCCACGAATTGTAAAGCTGTATGATGTTTTTGAAATAGATGGAAATTCGTTTTGTACAGTACTCGAATACTGCAATGGCCATGATCTCGATTTTTATCTCAAACAGGTAATATTTTTATATCCTAGCAAACTTTTTTCTTTACACGTAGAATGGACTTGTTTGTGATATTCTATCTTATCAATAAAAGTCTAATGCGATTGAAATTATACATATGATATGTAAGAACAAATAACAAGCTAAATAAATAAACACTATACTTTATAGTGTATTTGTACTTAGACACTGAGTATAGTTTTTGCGATTTAATTGAAGTAATTTCGAAATACAAAAGAGCATCCAAATTTCCAGCATAAAACAATACCGGAGCGTGAGGCCAGGTCCATAGTGATGCAAGTGGTGTCTGCACTAAAGTACCTGAACGAGATCAAACCGCCGGTCATCCACTACGACCTGAAGCCCGGCAACATCCTGCTGACCGAGGGCAATGTGTGCGGTGAGATCAAAATAACAGACTTTGGACTGTCCAAGGTCATGGATGAGGAGAACTATAATCCTGACCACGGCATGGATCTCACCAGTCAGGGTGCTGGCACTTATTGGTTAGTGTATTCTGATGTATTATTTTTTAATTTAGTCCAATATAAATCTTTTTGATGGTTTTGTTAGTAATAGCACAGATCACATAATAGTATACTAGTACAGATGCCTCATCCCATACAAAGAAATCGGACAACGATTTTTCTGGCTATTTTTGTTTGCTTGAATAGATTATAATAGATGTTGATTCGCAAATACTTAAACTCTTTTATTTTATAAATATGTGCAAAATAATAACTACGTGATAAACAATTCATAAGAAGTAAAAACGCCATCTGTGAATATACACTACAAAGTACAAACCTATCATCTGATTGCTGATATTTCATAATAATCAGTAGAGTTATGCAAATTTGATTTAAGGGTGCATTATTATTTTGTTTCCCTTCACTTGGAATATTTTATAAAATAATAATACACTTTTTGGGTTCTATTTCTTTATAATTTGTTAATTTAACACAACTTTACTAACAAGTCGATACATGTAACATCATCTATTGACATATTTGAACTAATTTTTCTTTGTTTGTGATGACACCTCATGATAATAGTTTATTAAGTGATAACTAAGTTACTCTTAACACCCACTAGTTTTGATTTCTTTTTATATTGAGGATATTTGAAATCTATTGTATTCAAAAAATTTTATGTACGCTGCTGCAATTTACTATTTGAGTATTTTTTTATGATTAAATGGTGTAAAATACTATTTTATTTCAAATGCATTGTTTATCATTCATTTACAGTTTAGTTAGTTAACTGTATTTTATCATTTTACTAATTAAATAAACTTTGTTTATAGGTACTTGCCGCCAGAGTGCTTCGTAGTTGGCAAGAACCCACCAAAGATAAGTAGTAAGGTGGATGTGTGGAGCGTTGGTGTCATCTTCTACCAGTGCCTGTACGGCAAGAAGCCGTTCGGCCACAACCAAAGCCAGGCGACAATACTGGAGGAAAACACCATACTAAAGGCTACTGAAGTTCAGTTTGCCAATAAACCTACAGTCAGTAACGAGGCTAAGGTGAGTAATGTATCTATTGTAACAAATACATAAATTTATTTGTATTGACATATTTCTATTATGACATATTATAAAAAAAAAACAATTTTATTGTAAACTAGCATTGCCCGCGGCTCCGCCCGCGTTCAGATGACCAAAAACTAAATTCTTAGGTGTTACATATTAGTATACTCTTACATTGCAGTTTTTGTATTTTTCCTCAGAAATAAGATATTTTCCCGCGGTAAAAAGTATCCTAGGATCGCGCGCTACATCGCCCGGTTTATATAGCTTGAGCAGGCGGTCGAGCGATGCGGGGCAGAGGGGATGGACTCGCCGTAGGCATCTCAATGCTCGCCAAGCATTAAAAATGTTTCGCTACTAATTACTTCTAACAACGATATCTCAAAAACTATTCATCTGATTGATTTAGTGTAAAGAGCAATTTTAATCTGCATTAAATGACTAAGCTAACTAAAATATTCATTTGGATAAGGATTAATACCGAACTAAAGAAAATAACTTTGAAAATAACGTAATGTTTTTAATTAAAAATGTTAACATAAAAGTGGTTATTGTAAGTCAACCGTAAGAGATAGAGATATGCTATCGCGGACTTTTTTGTAGCATTTTTATAGATTTTGAGTTCTCTAGTACATTACTTAACTGTATCTTTGCTAGTTTACGCGGCGTTCGCGTGGAAAGTTCCCATTTGGCGAGATTTTTTGCGACCTCTTCAACATTTGTCGCCGTATTTCAGCTAATTTACATAAAAGCATAATAAATTATATACCTAAACCTTCCTCAAGAATTACTCTTTCTATTGTTGAAAACCGTATAAAAATCCGTTCAGTAGTTTTCGAGTTTATCGCGTACAGACAGACAGGAGGACAGACAGGAGGACAGAAAGACGCGGCCGGGGGACTTATTTTTATAATAATTATTGTAAATTTTATGGCTATCACAAACATGGCAATATGCGAGGGTGAATCAAAAAGTTCTTGGTATCACTATAAAAATATACAAAAAATGAAACATTTTTTTATTTTTCTATAGTAAGGTTTTTATATATTGAGTGTTTTAATAGAAAATTTGATTAATTTGTAATGATTTATGTATAAGGCATTTACTTATGTGACCTTGGCCGATAGGAAGGTGTTTCAAAAAAAATAAAAAAGGGCGCGGATATTCATTTGTTTTCCCGCGCTTTTGCACAGAGATGTCGGTACTACCCTGTAGTGACTAGTCACGAATTGTTTATAATACTAAAAATTATGTTTATAAATTATGTAACTCACTGGCGATCATAAAAGTACTGAATATAAGAATATAAGCAAGGAATATCTCGAAGTTTTATTAGGGATCCTGCACTATATAATTTCCCTCTCATACGTATTGCATTTAGAATAACGCGTTTCTAACTTTCTAAAAAATCTTTTTCTTGGCTCTCGAAAGATTCGTCTACGGCAGCCATAACCGCGCTGTCATCGGGAAATTTAGTTCCATGAATATACTCTTTTAGTTTTGGAAATAAGGGAAGATCACTAGGGGCTAAGTCTGGAGAATATGGTGGGGTGTTCAAGGAGATTGAAGCCAGTACAGCGAATTGAATTAAGCGCAACTCCCGATCGATGATGAGTACGATTGTTATCGTGAACAAACAACATGCCTAACGACAGTTTTCCACGACGTTTTTCTTTAATTTAGCTTTTCGGCATTACATTTGCATAATTGTCCAAAAATCGTCTGGCCTTTTGGCATTTAATCGATTAAAAGGATGCCTTCACTATCCCAGAACACTCAAGGCCATAACTTTGCCAGTGTTAGGAGCAATTCGAAATTTCTTTAAAGATGGAGAGCATGGTCCTCTCATGACATGCTGTCTCATAGTTTCAGGATCAAAATGGTGAACCTACGTTTTATCCGTGGTGACAAGACGATAATAAAATTTATCCGTTAGACCAAAGTTTGGCATCACACAAGTAGTATTGTTTTATGGATATTCTTCTGTCTTCCATAACCAGATTTTCAACCTTTTTGTTGTTTTTTTCCGGAACGGAGGTCGAAGGGCGGCCAGAACGCGGGTCAACTTCACAACTTAATCTAAAATCCTCTTTTAAATTCAGCCTTCCAATAAGCAACCATAGAATAGGGTACATCATTATCTCCTAATGTCTTCTGAATGTGCGAAAAAAATTCCGTCGTGGATATTTTTTTCAGATACAGATAGTTTATCACCGCACGTAACTCACTTTTCTCCAGAATTTTGCATTTGCAATTTTTGTTTTTAGTAAACTTGTCTAATAAAATAATTGATTGCTTGCAAATGAACTGATAGAAACAAATGATACTTGGCATGAGTATTGTTTAATTAACACTTTTTAAAATGAATGTCAAAATATACCTTAAAAGGTTTTATATATATATGCGCTTCTAAGAACTTTTTGGTACACTCTAGTATGTTAGTATTTGAGACTAGTGACTTATCCTCGCTTCGTACTGGTGAGTCCCTAGGTGCCTAATTTTAACCTGTGTCCAGGTCATCTGAGTACTAAGTTTCATCCAAATCGTTACATCTTGAAGAAGTAACAAATATACATAAACACACACATACAAACTTCTTAATTTTCATGTACATATAATATAGTTATGTAAAGCGTGTGTTGTGTATCGCTTCAGAGCTTCATCCGCGCGTGCCTAGCGTACCGCAAGGAGGAGCGGATCGACGTGTTTGGGCTGGCGCGGCACGAGTACCTGCAGCCGCCCATGCCAAAGCCGCGCGGCGCGGCGGCGGGCGCAGGCGGCGGCGCGGGTGCGGGTGCGGGCGCGGGGGGCGCGGGCGCGGCGCCGGCCGCCTTCAGCGCGGGCCTGTTCGCGGCCGGCTCGTCGTCCTAGCCGCGCCGCGCGCGCCCGCGCCGCCCGCGCCCCCCGCGCCCCTGACGCCGAGGCGCGCTCGCCCCGCCGGCCCCGCCGGCCCTCCCCACGCGTAAAATGACTATATCGTTTACGGAATAAATTGTTTAAGATTATGCTTACTGTTGACTGTATTTATTGAGCAGGTGATAAAATGTGATTCTACATTCATGATGGTTTCGACCTTTTGTCACTAGAGAAGAATCCTTGGGACTATCCCTAGCATATTATATAAGTTATCCCTATTAAAAAAGTTAAAATATGAGTGCCGTGTTTATTTATATCGATCCTCTGAATGTTTCTGTAAATAAAATATTTGAGATCTTTATGAGTATGTTACTGAAGTATGTCGTATTATTGAGGTGCTATGCCTTGTTCCCGTCGAGTGGGAAGATTTGTAGTGTGGACTACGAGAGTGCTTTAATGACAACAAATAATGCTCGTATTTTAGAGTGTTCTAAATTTGGCTTATAATTATTTTGGAACATGAATAAAAATGATTATTGACTAATACAACTCTATTATTCACATTTTTATATTAAATTATATTTCGTTTGTTTTTTATAAACTTCGTATAGTCTGATTTTTAATTCGACGGAAATATGACAGCTGTCATTCTTTGACAATTCAGATATCATAAACATTTTCTGCTTTGTATTTTTTTGATATAAAATAACAAAAAATATGAAACAGAATTAGATCAAGTAAACTATATGTATGACATTGTAAATAGTCTTTGTTTTGTGCATTCAATGCACACTAACTATAATGTAATAAAATTTAATGGTTAAATGAAAAAAGCAGAGTAAAACAAAGTATAAGAAATGAAAATATTTACTAATTATTATTACTTATATAATCATTGTCGTCATCATCATCCACTCGGATTATAAAAGAATCACACTATCCATCAGATCATTAAGAGGGCACATTTTATCCTTTTCTTTTATAATATGGTTTATGCATTCTTGCCAAAAACAATATAAAAAATCGTGAACGATCGTTGTGAACCTGTCTTTTTGGAACTTTCCAATTCTTTTTGCCAATTGCAAAGATTTTACAAACAAAGGGGTTTCCCTAAAAAAAGGCTTGCGACCTATGTATTATTGGACAGGGATTCCTGTAATAGAAAAATAATTTCCTTAATAATTATTCTAACTTCGATAATATGATAATAAAAAAATAATTACCATTTTAGAGTTATCAATAATTTTTTAAGTCTTAGTTTTTCTAATTAAAACCTTAAATTCAAGAAAGGTTTATTTTTTTATTTTGCTAAAATGCTTTCCGTTTTTGCGACAATGTTTCAAAGCTGACAACATTTCGCTCATCCAATAGAACAACGACGTAATTACCAAAAAGTTGAAAATGACTTTTGATTGTCATAAGTTCTTATTTCGAAAGTTCTATCTATGACAAAAACGGCATAATTATATTTACGGTAGTTTTCGATAGATGGAGTGAATGACATTAGGGAATTGACGTATTTTTCAAAAGGATACTCGGAAACATCGACATATTTGTCACTCGTGCGGGGCGCCTCGCGAAGTGAGACCGTGTCGGGAGTTAGTGCGACACAAATGTAAGTTATGACAAACTATGTCAATTTTATTGGTAGAACAATGACGCAATTGACAATTATGTCATTATGTCAATAAAACTGCATTAAATCGTTTGATTATATGACACAATTGCCAAATACGTTCCTGTTCTGACAAATAACATATAAAAAGGTAGGTACATAATTATTTTCAAGTGCATACTTATTTTAAATATGTATAAGTATATTATGTTATTTGATATTCTTATTGACTCGCATATTGAAAATACTGATAAATTACTTAATATTAAACTATGATTAACGTATTATCATTAATACGTTAATTATACTTTCTTTTTGATCATACCTACATGATAAATGCTATTCTATGTATTCAATTTTTATGTCTTTTTTTGTTATCAAGAAGATTCTAAAAGTTTTGTGGTACTTTATTTATTTAATAAAAATGGTGTTGTTTTAGGCCATAAATATAAATAATATGTCTAGGCCAAAAAGAATCAAGCAGATGGTAAAGTTGGGTAAAGACGGACATGTACCTCAACCTTTTTCTTATAACATCCAGACAGAATTGACAGCAATGAATAATCCTATAAAATTGAAACGTAAGACTATTATTTTCTTCCTTTTTAATTTTCCTACTTGAAATGACCCAGTTCTCAGAAAAGTCTGTGTTTTAGCTGAAATTGAAGGTCAAAGTGGAACTCAGAAAAGGAATCTGTCGTCAGATATGGAAGAAAAATATATCAAAACAACTGAAAAATTCTGGAATAGAATACATTTCCCACACCGGAAAAAAGATTGCAAGTAAACTAATAATACCACCATGCGACTGTAGATTACAATGTAGGAACAAGTTTTCAGAGGATCAAAGAAAGGAGATATTTAAAAGTTATTGGAATTTGGCATCTCTTCAAAGACAGAGAAATTTTTTATGCACGTGTATAGAACCTTTAAATATTTCATGTCGTCGTATAAAGAACCTAGACAAACCTAGAACACCTAATTGCTTATTTTCATTATTAAATAACGGTCAATGTTTTAAAGTACGCAAAAATTTTTTGTTAAACACTCGGAATTACTGAGAGAACACTAAGAACTGTAATCGAGACCAGAAATTATAATGCTGGCATGGCCCCTAAAGATAACAGAGTTAAACATGGGAATCATAAATAAAAGAGATCCAGAACTTGTACAATCTGTTAAAGACCATAATGTTAATTCAGTGCCACGGATTGAATCGCATTATTTAAGAGCTAACACGTCTAGAGAATTTATAGATGGTGGTCCAATTGCTGAATTACATCGTAATTACAAGACACAACGTTCTTCTCTACAGAAAGAAGCAGTAACTTACGACGTCTACGCAAAAATTTTTAAAACTGATTTTAATATATCTTTTTTTTCAAAGAAAGATCAGTGCGATCTGTGTGAATCTTACAAAAATGCCGTAGGTGAAGGCAAAGACAAGTTGCTCCTAGAATATGAGTTACATCAAAGAGAAAAACAATTAAGTCGTAATGAAAAATCCAAAGATATAGAGACCTGTAACGAAGCCAACAGTAATACCCTAGTCTTTATTTATGATTTGCAGGCAGTAATGCCAAAACCAATAGGTGAATCGTCTGCTTTCTACTACAAGTCAAAACTCAACTGCTTAAATTTTACTGTAAGTTATTATTAAAGTCTTAAATTTAATTTCATTATATACAGTTATCTTAATAATTATAAATGGCATTATTACTTTTATATTTCAGATATCTGATTAAAAGAATAAAATAACTGATAGTTATTTTTGGCATGAGGGATTGGGCAATCGTGGTGCAATTAAAATAGGTTCATGTGTTTTTAAATTTTTAGAAAAGATTGCCCTTGAAAGTCCCAACGTAAATATTATCTTCTATTCTGATAATTGCTGTTGTCAGTAAAGGAATAGGTAGGTTTTAAGTGCACGGAATGAATTCTGATATCAACATTAGTCAATACTGTTATTAATCGATATTTGAATGTTTATATTTTCAGATACTAAGCATGTATGCGTATGCAGCAAGAACATTGGCAATTAATTCAATTGCCCATAAGTTTTTAGTGAGAGGTCATACCCAAAATGAAGGAGACAACGTTCACTCCATTATTGAAAAGACCATTAAAAATGCCAAAAAGTCAGGCTCCATATACGTTCCCGATCAATATATTCAATTAATAAGAAACGCTAAAAGAAAAGGCAAACCTTACGTCGTCCATGAATTGAATTTTTCAGATTTTATTGATTGGAAGGATTTAACTGATCAATTATCTATCAATTTCAACAAAAATCTTAATGGAGATATTGTCAAGTTGTCGGACATTCGACTAATTAAATTTATTAAGGGATCTGATGTTTATATATACAAGAGATCATACGACGATACAGCAGAATAGATTCAATGTGGTATGAACATAGGATCTAAAAGACGAAATTCGCCGAAATTCGCCTGAAAAACGCATATAGTGCTAAACTTTGTATTTCAGATCGTAAAAAAGCTGATTTGTCGCGTTTAATAAATACTAATATCATACCAAAATATTATGAGGCTTTTTATAATTCTATTTTGTAACAAGTTTAATTTTGAGTTAAATGTCTATTTTCTTGTTTAATTATTTTTTAAGCAATTGTGATATTATTTTATGTTCCTACTTGATTTTATGCTTTTTAAAATTATATAAATATAAGCAGGTTTATAAATATAAAACTGCATTGATTATTTTGTTGTTTAAATTCATGTTTTATTCCCATTTCATAACATAGTTTATGTCATAATTGTTAAATTTCATTTATAAAATGGCATAAGTGTACGTCAGGTTTGTTATAATTGGTATTTTTAATAATTTTCTTGAGTTTTCTAAGGAAGTTATTATACATTTTTATTGACAGTTAGAGTAACATTCATAAATATTAAAAAAAATCATTAGAATGATTTAATACACATTTTATTTTAAGCTTCAAACTTTCAAAACGTTCTCCTGAAAAATAGCTAAAACGTAATTACGTCATTGTTCTATTGGATGAGCGATTTCTGAAATGTCAGAATTCCGCCGAATTAAAAATCAGACTATAGTTTGTGCGTATTATCCAACAATATTTGAAATAATAAAAAAATGCACACTTGTATGCCTGGGTAATTTTTTTTTTGCAGATACTTTTTCAATATATGTAGTGAAAAATGGCATAACTCATAAGGACAAAAAGGTTTTATAAAAATGTATATAATTTTATATACATTGTTTTGAATTATTATAAAAGTATACATTAGAAGGTTTCTTTTCATCTAATCAGATGTTTGCTTTACCCTTATAACAACGACTTGTAACTGATTTGATATATTGTATGTTAGTGTCGATATCGAGTGAGTAATGTCGTCAATGAGGGATTTATAGCGCCAATATGGGTGTCTTGAACATTTTCATTCTAAACCTGACGAGTAAGATATGAAAATAAGAGGTAATAACAAAAATACAATTTATAATCAAGATGCAATAATCGAACTGGCTAAAATAAAAATAAAGTAAATTCTCATTTAATTATAAAAAAAACGATATTATTATGTCATCATGGTATTTACCATAGACATAGAGAGTAGACTGAGTGTTTCTTTCCAGCCGTCTGCTGAAAATTGCAGAATAGCGACAAAGACAAAATAAATTAGCGGCCAATAAGTCTTCTATATTCATTGAAATACTATTAATGAAGATAGATATTTATAGCCATTTTACATACATACATATTATAAATATAAACCCCCATGACAAACATTCGTGCTCATCACACAACTGAATGCCCACAGCGGGATTCGAATCCGCGACCCCTAGCACAGCAAGTAGGATCACTACAAACAACCAAACGTGTCGTCAATCTTGATGAAATGTAGGCGGCTCAGGATTGAAATGGTTGGTACTCCATGGCTTTCGTTCTTAGACAGCAGTGATGATGATGAAATATTACTTTTCTCAAAAAGTTCTGTCTCGGACGGAATGAATCTTGCTTAGTTACTACAGCTCTGTATAAAAAGGTTGTCAATATACCTACTATACTAAATGTTAACTATTAATCTAGAATACAAGTTAATTAAGAAAGTATTTTAACATTTTTTATGTATTTACTAATACTTGACGTTAAGGTCCGTAAATGTACATAAAACATGCCATTAGACCAAAATTAAAATAAATAAATGTACATAATTCACATGCACTTAATTAATGACTAGACGTTCAGTTTAACATTTTAAATTAATTACTATGTTCTTAATTAATTATATTGAAATAAACAGTCTCTTAGAAAATAAACTGAAATGGTTACAACCTAAATATTTTGGGCCCATCTAGTTCTTGTGTGTTATTTTTAAGAAATACTATTTAAATATGTCTAAAAAGAAAAACATAATTGGCTTCGATCTTATTTGAATTTTAAATTACTTAATTAAAAATAAACTTTACTTATTCCTAAATTGGTTAAAAGAACTTTGCCACATTTTTAGTAGATCTAAGTATTTATGTAACAAAGAGTCATATTTATATCATATATGCCGGTACCTATTCATATCAACAGAACATTACGGTTAAGTAATAACTGAATATATTATAAAAGTGAAGAAGACCGTCTCGTAAAATGCCATGTCCGTACATGGGGAAAGTAAAAGGTCATGAAACGTCCTTCACCAACGTACTAGAAATATTAGCTGTTATTTAGAATATTGCCAGTGAGCAGAATCCCTATCGGCAAGTCGCAGAGCTTGGTTCAACCGATATATTACTGTATTTAATCTGCGTATAATGTTTGTAAAAGTTTCAATCGAAATATTTCTGTGAAGTTCGTAACGTCCGGGTTGGTCAAGAATTCTCTCAAGAAAAATCTCAGTAACAGACCGAAGCTGGGAAGATGGCGGTGTTACACCCTCGTGTCTCAGAGAGTAGATATGTGAGCCGTCGGTCCTGCGTCTAAACTCACCAATCGATAAATTGCTCCACCGGATTTTAAGAGTAAATTCAATAAAGAATATCTTCTGTCTAAATAGCTATTCCAAGTAAGCTTGACTGCGGTCGAAATCGGTCAGGAAGACATAAATGAATACACTGTAAAGTGCTGTTTTGAAAACAAAAACTAAAGAAATCTAATCACCGTCATAAGCGTATGACTTTCCGATTTGTTATGGTTGTACGTTTTTCTTCGTGAGCGAGCTTGTCGGTAATAAACATTTTCGTATATCTGAGCGGTTGAAACTATAAAAAGACATGCGATTCCTATCATTTATTTTAATAGGAACTACACCCATCTAGAAGCATATATTAGCCAGATGGCGTAAAATTCGAGATAAAATGTCAATTTTTATTTGCCTATACTTACCGTAAAGTCTTTATGGACTAGACTTAAATCGCATTTTGAAATTCATAATATTAGCATGAGGTCTTATCAGGAACAAAGAAATTGTACACGATAGTGCTATGGTATGGTACAGGGTACAGACTCGTAAAGAAAATGCAAATATAAAAAGTACCACTAGTACACTTTTGTAGTACAATCATCAAGTTAAATAAGTTCAGATGATGCACGCACGTTGAGATACGAATGTCTGTATGTACATGGTAACAGAAACGTAAAATGTCATCGAAGCAGGGATTTGAGGAAAAGAAATCCTGGGTGATGATGAAAGAAAAAAATATTTTGGGTATGACGTACCCAATATGTATGTAAAAATTCGTATACGGTATAGTGATTGATCATAGCCCTGCATATGTCTTGCAAAATCAGGATTGTGTATCCTAAACTATTTTACAACCATGAGAAATAATAAAATGGAGATTTTAGAATTATAGAACCTGAAAGCTATGTAACAAAGCAAAATTAAGAATCTAACCTAAGCGAATATTTCATGCTCATTAAAGTTTACATCCACTTAAAAACTTATCTGAATTTGATTTCTATCTAGTACATACCTAGAAAAAGCTTTTAAAACTTTTCATTCGCGTCCCTCTAAGGAGGTTCGTAAACGGTAAACCCGCAAAGAGTATGTTCTAAGTAAGTTGGTAAAATCTAGTCTTTTTATTTAGTTGGTCTAGCTTTGTTAATTAATAATTAGAAATTAAAAATAGCTCTATCATGTTTACGTGTTATATTAAATACAAAAATCTCGCGACGAGTAACAGAAATATACGAGTATGTTTTAATTTTACTACAAAATATAATTTAAAGTTAGTTTAATATTGTAATTTTAATTGTCTTCTGAAAAGGAAGTTCATAAATGAAATATGTGTTTGGTTAGGTTGGTAGTGTGAAAATTAATGCGTGTTCAAATCACGTCGGGGTCACCACTGTGGGGGTTTGGTAGTGTGTTGTTGTTGAGTTGGCGAGAACTTAATAAAAGTCTATGTACAATTCACAGCCTTTAATGCACTATTTTACACCCACAAAATATAGAAGGAGAAAGAGCAAAGCGGAAAGATAGTTCATACAGTTTACACGATAGAAAGCACAAAGATAGTAGAAATAAAAATACATAAAATTACGAAGCTTATATGATTAAGTACGTAAGCTTGGAATGGCGAGTAAGCGAGCGGTACGTGTCTCTCGTCTAGCGTGCGGATTGCGACTGACTGGAGTAAGGAGTTGAAACTTTTTAACTTTTAATTAACTTGAAAAGATCGTAGATGCTAATGCGCGGGCGCCGCTAATGGTAAACACCGAGGTGCGGTGCGCGGGAGGAAAGATGACATTACGTCACCTCGATCAGCT